TACACCACATTTACACCAGTTTCCTCTCCCTGGCCAGCAGAGGGGGAAGATCTTTTTGAACCTTAAGTTTTTCCACATTAGTAATTTATTACTGGATTCTCCATCGCCATGAACTTTATCTCAGGGTTGGATTTTGCTGAGAATTAACCACAACTGCTGAGAAATGGATTCACAAGAATTCACTTCAGGATGAAATGATCGAATTATCCCCTCCTGGCTTTACAAATCCCTGAGTTTTGGGACATTCTTTATATTATTTTTTATTATCCTTAAACCTTCATACATAGATTTACTCACTGGAATCTAGTGCTCACTTAGTGCACCTCAGGATTTTATAATCTTTAATTATTTTTAATTAAATTTATTTTTAATTAAAGATTTTATAATCTTTAATTATTAATGCTTTTCCATGGTTAGTGAGGCTGTGAGAAAATATCCCGTGGGATAATTTTTGCAACGGGACACAAAGACAAACCTTTAGAATTTAATGGTTGGAAATCAGGATTTGAAAGGCTGAAGGAGAAATAAAGTTTGGGGTAAAAAAAGGGGAAATGGTGAACTTTTCTGATCTGAGGACAGGTTCTGGTGTGCAGTGAGGTTCAGCTCAAGCCAAAATCAAACCTTGGATGAACAGGAATTGAGGATCTCAACTCCACAACCCAAATAAAAATAAAGAAATGTTCCCTCAAACACCAAAGCAACAAGAACAATCACAAAAACAAAACAAAAGAATGTTCCCCAAGCAGATTTTGTCAAGTTGAGAGCATGAAAATCAACAAGAACCAGCCCTAAATGAAATGTTTTCCACAAAAGCATAACTCACCCAACGAAGGTTTCCAGGCACAGGGAAACCCCGATGAGGGCACTGAAGATCAAAATCAGCTTCATGTTTGCTGCGAGTTCAGCTGGGCCTGGCAAAGGGGGAATTTATACAGAGCTTTATTTTTCAGATGAAACGCATCCGATAAAACCTATCGCTCCATGTGATCAAGTTCTCACATTTATCAGAGCCTTCAAGGTAATCACCGGGCCGATTTCACCTCCAAAAAAAATAAAAATATTTTCCACTGACACATCCAAAGCAGCGGGGGAGGAGTCGGTCCCAAAGCTCCGACCACAAAAATGTGCGTGTCCTTCCGCAAGTTTTTCAGGACAGAGGAAAACCGGGACGAACTGAACTCGTCCCAGATCCCACCGAGCTCTGCCAGCTCCTTCCTTGTGTCCATTCCTTGTTCCAAAGGGTGTTTGAGTAGTTCTGGGGGAACAGCAGATTCCTGCCTGAGCTTTGGGAATAATCTCCAGCTGTGGCTGTCCCACAGGGCTGCTGGATAAAGTTGTTGTTTATTCAAATAAAGAGGTTTTTGAGGGACAGGCAGGAGCTGTCACACCTGGGGTTCCTGGGGAGAAGGGACAAAGGGAGATGTTCAGCTGTTCAATCCAACTCAGGAGAAGGAGGAAAGGAATTCCCTGACAATTCTCAGAGGAAATTTTAATAAAGATCTCGGTTTGTATCACTCACTCCTCCCTGAGGAGCCTCCTCTCACCTCCACTCCCTCCCTGCTCCTCCACAGGTGTCCTGTCATGGTCACAGCTCCGAGCAAACCCTTTGTCTCATGGTTTTGGGAGCAAAGGCAGCCCCGGGCAGGGATTATTCCTGTTTTGGGATGTAGGATTGAGTCATCTTGTAACTGCTGTGTCTTGGGGGCAGCAGGAGAACTGCTCTGATCTCTAAGGTTTAACCAAACCCAGTGCCTGGGGGAAAAAGATCTCCACTCCCTCAACTTAAACCAAATAACAAAAATTTATCCCAAGAGACAGGAACCACCGCAGGAATTTCCTGCTCCTGGAGCTACAGCAACTCTGGTGGGAGTCAAATCCCACCTGTAGCTTCCAGACTCCAATATTTGATAAGGAATCAGCTGACTGCCCATGCCACCTGCCACGGGTCACTCTTTGAAAACAGGAAAGAGGGATTTAATCTAGGGCAAAATTAGAGCTTCTTTCATTACTCATTCTACATCCCACATGGATTTAAAGGCTGCCAGGAAACCCTGCCAAACCTGATGTCAGGATCCGAAGTGTCCCAACAAGCTCTGAGTGCCCTGATCGGCATCCCCTGGGGCCTCCACCCACTGCATTTCAGGAGCTGCATCTGAATCCAAACCTCTCATCCCCTGGAGGGGCTGCAGTGACCTCCTGCTGGAGCCAGGAGGTCCTAAAGGGTCTGGAGATAAACCCTGAGCATCCATGAGATTGGAGTGAATCCAGAGGAGCTCCAGGGCTGGAGCCCCTCAGCTCCGGAACCAGGCTGGGAGAGCTGGGAACGTTCTGCTGGAGAAGGGAAGGATCCAGGGAGAGCTTCCAGCACATTCCAGGGCCTGGAGGGGCTCCAGGAGAGCTGGAGAAGGACTGGGGACAAAGCCTGGAGGGACAGGAGACAGGGAATGGCTTCCCACTGCCAGAGGGCAGGGATGGATGGGATTTGGGAAGGAATTCCCAGAGAAGCTGTGGCTGCCCCTGGATCTCTGGAACGTCCAAGGCCAGGTTGGACACTGGGATTTGGAGCAGCCTGGAACAGTGGAACTGGGTGGGCTTTGAGGTCCCTTCCCACCCAAACCATTTTAAGAGGCTGAAAACATCAGCAGGGTTGATGGCAGGGTCCAGAAGGGGAGCGGCAGGAGGGCAAAGGTGACACAGCAAGGCAGGTGGAGAAGGGAGCTCACCACAAGCAGCAGAGCCCCACGGATCCAACCAAGAGCAGCAGAGCAGGTCTGGTGGCACTGAGCAGGTCCAGGTCCTCGGACAGCTCCCAGGACGTCACCAAGTCCCCCCTGAAGCAGCTCAAACCAACCCCAAACCAACTGGGCTGAGCTGCAGCAGAGCTGGGTGGGTGGAGGGTGTGTGGGTGAGGCCGGGCAGGGCTCTCCTGCGGGGTGGGACGTGCTCTCCACGCAGCCCTGCCGAGGTTTGGAGTCACCCCATGAGTCAGGAGCACCCCGGTGACACCCGAGACAGCGCCAGGTTAAATCAACCTTAGCCAACCAAACCAACTCTGTGCCTGAAATTGATGCCTTGATAAAAATTTTCATTGTGCTGTCACTGAGACCCCCACAAGCCCTCAACAATCAACTGGGAAAACTCCAAAAATCCTTAAATTCCAGTGGAGTCCATCAATTTTTGTAAAATCCAGACCCTTTGTTGTTGGTGCCTCAAATGACTCAAACCAAGATCCCGTGTTGTAGCCTCTCCCATCAATTTTAGGCAAAAAAATCCAAGAAACTTTTCACCTTTGGATTGAAATATTTCAGTGCCATGGCAAAGGGCTCCACTGGCAACTCATCTCCTGGATAATCAGCATTAATTGGCTATAACGCCAATTTATTTTGGATTACTGATGAGGGAATTACTATTTCTGTAAATAATGGATTGCCTCCATGTCCTTAATCCATTCTGGAAATGCCCTGGATACAGAATGAGTAGGGATTTCAGTATGTGGCTTACCATTTGTACACTTAGAATTAATTTTAGAAGCAGAACTCTTATTTTTGATGTTTCTGGAAAATCTGCAGCTTTATGTCAGTGTAATGATCCTGGCTTCCAACTCAATTTTCCTTAAATTAGGAAATCGAGACCTTCAGATTTGGAGGGTTAGCCTCAGAAACAAAATTCTTTCCATTTACAGCATTTCAGAGCAGAAATATGAAGTTTAAACCTGTACAAAAATTTGAAGTCACGTGTTGAAAATGATATAACTTTCCTAACTAATTTTTAATTGGTTATTTTAATTTTTTATGAGCAGTACCCATTTTTAACCAGCACTTCTCCACAGACCTTTATTATTACTTTATCATTAAATCATCAATTAAGTGTGTTAAAACTAACCCTGACAAACTTTAATGAACAGACACAAAGAATTTGAGGACTGGGCTTGTGGAATATTAAATTTATGGCCCTTCAAGGATATTGAAATAACCAGAAAATTAGAGGAAATTAAGGCCTGAAAGGTTGGAGACTCCATGTATGAGAAAAAGATAACAAAATTACTAAATAATTTGGATGGAATCAATATAAAAAGTGAGGAAATTAATAGGGAACACAATACTAATTAATGAAGAGGATGGTGCAATTTAGAACCAATAAACATTAATTTGCTTGTTAAAATGTATATACAAAAGTTTTATACTGGGGCTCATGTGGAGGCCTGAACTTTGTCAGTCGCACGCATGAACTTTGGCCAGGAATAAACAGCTGACTTGCTAACATTTTTAAAAAGATAACGTTAAAAGTCTTATTTATTCCCACGGTTTCAGCGACACTTGAAATATGAAGTTGTGCTCTCACAGAAATACAAACTTGCACCTATGCAGAAATACAAAACTACACTTGCATAGCGTGCAAACAGACGTAAAACCCCTTAAAATTTTACTTGATAGTGGCAACGTGTTGGTCTGACATGGCAGTGTGTAATTAAACAATTTAGCTATAAAGACAATTTAA